AAGTGAAAGAGAGCTTCTTGTGGATGACATACAGCGCATTCGCGAGGCCCTCCGAGTTACAGCTAATGCAGTCAACAAGTTGTCTTCTGAAGATGAAGAAGACGATGAAGAGTACGAAGAGGAGGAAGAGGAAGAAAATGAGCGACCTTGCACTGACAAGGCAAGCCTGAAAAGTAGGTTTTCCCTTCCAGTTTTGGTAAAATTTTCAAGGCACGGCCGAATATTTGCCACGCACAATAGATGAATAATTTTAGTAAACATTCTAGAACTCCTCATTCCGATCCCAACTGAATCTCGAGTAATCCGTAAGTGTATCATGGCTATCTCTCTTGCGTGGAGCACATTTTTGCAAGTGTTACGGTGGCTTGCACTGAGTCAGAGAGAGAGTACTGGTGCCTTTTTAAACCAAAGGCCCCTGTGGGGCGACTCATGGATGATTTGGATAAGCGTGTAGTGTAGCAGAGGAGATTGGAGTTCAATGCTTAATCCAATTTTAATTAATGAATATATTTATCAGAATCGAGTGAGTTAGTGATAAAAGGCCATGCAATTGCCTCGCACACCTCATGGAATGACTACATGAGCCAAAAATGGTGGTCTTCCTGAATAGTCTTTTAGTATCAAACATTTTCTATTTTTTAAGCTCTGTTAAAAGTGACCACACTTGGGTTGCCTGTATTTTGTACAAGTGTGAGTCATTACTGCCAGACAATTATTGTCAAAGCTTTTTAGACTACTGGGCCACTCAGCCTCCTAGTCCTCTGTGCCAAGGTTAAAACACAGTATATATTGGCATAAATGTCATATGGGCACACACTGTTGTGACTTGTTTTTTTGAATAGTCAATTTCTTGGTGCTTGTACACGGCAAGGAAAATGAGGATATAATAGTTGTGTTTTGAATTTCATCTCTAATTTTTTTTTTTTCTGCTTGCCAAATCACATGTTTTCCACTTTGAATTACCGTAATGCTCTTACCTCTTCTACAGATCCAATTTCAATCAAGTCTCCTCTGCAGACAGTGAATTATCTCTGTGCCCCAGTAAGTGTTAGGTGCCATGAGTGAATATTTCTTATTACCTCCTAAGCAGTTTGAAAACAACATTCTCATTAACATTAAACAACCAAATCTTCCTCATGAGAGTTTGTACAGTGTAGCATTAGAAGTAAAATTTGGATAGTGGACTTAACATCAACTCTTCTAGGGTTAAACCTCGGCAGAAGTCAAGCTGTTGTGGTCCTGGAAGAGAACTTTTCTCTTTTTGTGTACATGTGTTTTTAGCACCTCACCTAAGAGTGGTTGCACTATTTGTTCACTTTTAGGAGAAATCAGGATAAGAGGTATATTTTTTTTTTCCGCTGCATGACTTGAATAACTAAACTTGTACTTGAATATCCAGGAAGATAGAACTTAGGGGCCTTTGATTTTAAGTTATGGCACAGTTTAGGGAACTAGTTGACCACTAAATCATACACACCTTTCGTTGTAAATATAGTCATTTTCTTTATGTTTTGGCAACCAAAACTTTTTGTAAGCATTTTTTTATATAATTATCGTTGTGGTAATTATACAATCAAATTGATGTCACTGAATATGTTTCTTGTAGAAACAGGGTAGTAGACTCCCCAGGAAAGGAGAAGTACTCCAGGAAGATAATTGTGGAGGGCAAGAACAGTTGAGTGAAAGGACACCATCTGATTCAAATTGTGTCAAGAATCAAGGCTTTCTTAGTGGGTTGCCATGCCAGGCACAAATAGACACTAATTTGTTACCATCTCAAAACCATAATGTTTCTTCAGATGAGTTTATCTTGACTGAATTACAGCCAGTACGTTTTCAACCCTCTGTTTGTCATCCTGATACTAGTCGAGAAGGGCATGTTGCTAATAGCTGGCCAGTTGAGCTAAACCAGCATCAATGTCAAAATGACGTTAATCAGCTACAAAAGCAGCAAGGTCCACCCTATAATGATGATGCTGATGATGAGTTTGACTGTGATTATGGGATGAGCAGTGAAATTCACCAATGCTTGAGCTTGAATAGAGACTATCAGGTAGAGTTTTATTTAATTTGTAGTTTACATATATTTGGGTTGTAAAAGCACTGCTCTTAAACCCTTTAGTGCTTAATACAAGATCTGATTGTTAGTCCTCCCCTCTAGTTGCTACACGTTTCCTTGTAAATTAGTTACAAGAATATGGTGTAAGATTAGGATAAGGACTTCTACCTGATGATTTTGAGTTTTCCCATTACCTGTTTGCTGAATGATGTATGAATATTACCCACAGTGTATAGGGAGAAATTGCATGTTAATCACTTCTTGAAGTAAAACCCTGCAATCTTATGTATAATAATTATTCTGAAATGCTTGAGAGGTGCAGTAGCTTCTTGGTTAGTGCGTTTGACTCCAGATCGCAAGGGACTTTGTGTTGTGTTTTTGGGCAAAACACTTTACTTTCACAGTGCCTCTCTTCACCCAAGTATTTAAAAGGGTATCGTAAATTTAATGCTGGGTGTAACCCTGCCATAGATTAGCATTAGGGGGCAGGGGAAAGGGTCCTAGTCACTTCATGCTACAGAAACCAAAGTTAAGTACCGGCCTGATGCACAACTTGGCTGGTAAACATACTTTTGTTGTTACATGTTACTTCTCAACTGGGTGTTGTGAATCCAAAACCAAAAAATAATAGCAGCCAATCAGAACAAAGAAAATATCACACAGTAAAGGAGCCAATGGGAAATCAAAGAGAAACAAGCAAAGTGTCTGAAAAGTAACCAATCACAGAACAAGTAAACCAAAATAAGTTAAATCTCAGATTGCTCTTGACTTTTAGCTGTTAATTCTTGTGCCTGCTTGCTCTGTCTGTTGTTTATTTGTTTTGGTTTATTTTATATTTGCTCATTTCAGTTGGTAATATTGGATGAACTTGAAAGAATAGAACAGGCCCTTATAAGGAACAGACAAAAGCAGGTATTTTTAATTGCTGTGTAAAATAATAGTGATGAATTTTTTTTATTTATTTATTCATATTTCTATTTTCTGAACTTTGACAGGGTGGAAATTTTTTAGAGCTTTGGAGTTGCATAACATCTTTTAGGTTTCCAGTTATAAAGTCTCTTAACACTTTTTTTTAATTGATATTTCTTTCATAGGCTTTATGAAGATACATTTATGTAATTTTGTTGTCTTGGGCCCACTTTTCACCCTCCATGTACACTGTATGTCAGGATTTTTTGCAAAGTTTAAAGAAGACTTTTCACAATTAATTGGAAATTGTCATTTAGCATACATGTACTTACTGAGCTAATCAAAGCACTGCAATCAATAGAAGAGCCATTTTAACCCATTACACCTTTGCATCAGTATTCATATTCTTCAGAACATTCTCTATTCATTTTCTATCATGTTCATATGGAGAACTTGTAAAACAATCAACAGCATGTTTAGTTCTCTATCTTTTCTGTTGCTCCTATTACCAGTGATATATGATTGAGCAGTGGTACTGTAAAGATAAACTGGATGCTTGTGTAGCCAGACATGCATGGAAAACTGCTTCCATGAACATTAAAAAAATCTTCCACAGAGTAGTTTTTGATAACAACTGAACAGGAAAAGGCATTTGTGTTATCTATTGGTCTAAAATAAAATTTTGTCTTGTTGTGAATCAGATAGGACTGCATCAAATGAGAATGAATAGAGATGACACAAAACCCGAGCCTCATACATTAATCAAGTTTGCAAATCCTTATTTTAAAGATTCAAGTTCACTGGTAAGCCAAATGTTGTATTTACTCACATTTTGGGGATATTTTTAAAAATAATATTTGTTAAAAAAGACAGAGTGAAAGCTGACTGTTGTCAAGTAATTCAAAGGCAGATTGGAAGGAATTATTTGACCTTAACCATCAAGCATTGTGAAGAATGATTAGATTTAGAATCAGTATACAATGCAATTACCTGTTTTGGGTGATTGTTTGGAAACTACAGTTTTATGGCATGTTTAGAGACATGTTTAGAGAAAGAAATCGTTACTTATAGCCAATGAAGTCGTGTATCAAGCCACCATCACGACTGCTGAAAACAGAGACATACGTTGGCCTCACCACCACGGAGTTCAAGACGAGATGGCGAAATCACCAAATGTTATTTAAACATTAAAGTAAAATGAATGACACTGAACTGAGAAAACATCTCTGGCAGCTAAAAGATCAAAAGAAAGACTTTGCAATCTCCTGGAAAATTCTAGACAAGGCCAAATCTTATAGCAATCTTACTAAATGGTGTAACCTATGTACTGTAATTTCCGGCCATTTACCTGCGGGTAATCTGTTGATTTTGCACTCGACACGCGCCACTGCGGGTAATAGGGAGGTGCGGGCTATGTAACAATTTTGAAATCTACTAGCTGTTGAATTGAAAAAAGTTCTCACCTCCCTGCATTTCCACTTCTCAAATGAATTTTATTGTATTAAGACTGCCACAAAGTGACACGAAAATATGCCAACTCGAGTTTATTTCACTCATAATTGGTTGCGCGACGAACAAATTTTTATCGGCACGTGTGTAAACAAAACCTTGATTGTGACAAAAATAATCCAAGGATATCCGGCACATCAGCTACAAATTTTCAGTTAACACGAGCTTGAACTGAAGAGAATTTTCCCGTTTTAAAGGACTGGGACTCGTTAGGCCCAGGAGAACTGGAGATATCGATTTTTTTTTTTTTGAGAACTCAACAAATCAACATGGCGCTGAACGATCGCTCACACAAAAATGTGGCCACGAATTCACATTCTGTCACATATGAAACGTTGTGAATTCTAGAGCCTTTTTGTACAAATTTCCTTTGCTTTTAAGGTGCGGGTTATCCACCAGTGCGGGTAATCTCTTGACTTTTTTTTTCGCTGTATGCAATAATCGGCTGGTGTGGGTAATCGGCCGTGCAGGTAAACGGCCGGAAATTATGGTACTACCGAAAAATTCTATATTCTACATAAACCAGAATTGGCAATGCTCAACAAACGTAATGAACTCGTATCAACTTGCAGGCATAAGCGAAATTTTCTTCTTAGATTCAATCGCATCCTTAAGAACCAATCATAGTTTAAATTTTGTTACGATCATGCTGCCGATGTATATAAACTCATCGATGCTGCAGTGTATATGGAATTTAACTGAAGAGTGGACCAACTTCTTGTTGGTCTACAAAATAGACCTGTATTAAAGTCCATATGTAACTTTATTGAGTAGAAAGACATTTTTATTACCACTCCATTACTGTTGAGCACTATTCTGGATTTACCAGTGTGGAACTTACCAGAATAAAATATATATATAGGCTGTGTAAAATTGGTATACCTCTCTCTATA